AAAGATCCGTGGTTCGAGTCCCCCGGTCCAGTCGGTCCACCGGTCCAATTGTTTTCACGAATCCCGCATATATATACGTATATATATGAGCCGTTTATTTTGAAAGTGGCTAAACTCCAATTCTTGGTAAGAAAACGCATATTATTCACTTAATAATAGCCACCATTTTAATTGGAACTATAAATTTAACATCCTTAGATACACTCGAACATAAATGGAGTTAGGTCACTTTCAAAATAAACGGTTCATATACAGTTACTGTATTTTCTGCATTCACCTGAATGACTTTTTCCATATCCCCAGTTATTTGTGATATCAAATCCTTGTCTCGTTAAGAATTTAAATATATTATCTTTCATATGTATTTGAGAACGTTCCCCATCAAATTTCGTTTGTACAAAGTACTCGTCCTTATTTTTAAAAAGTTTTCCCACATCCTTAATAGCAAATCTTTCTAATAACATTGGTTTGAAAAAAGAAAAAAGATGAATATGAAAATTAATTCTTTTTTTATTTCGATCTCTGAGATTATCACAAATTGTTCGCAGTTCAAAAGTTGTAGAAAAATATTCATACGCTTCCGGATGATAAGCTGTAAAAAATACAAAAGAAATTATTAATTTTAATAATATTAGTGTTTTACAGTAAAGCTATGATATAATAATATATTATTTCTTTTTTTTTAAACAAACCTTCCAACATTTTTTGTGTTCCAATGCCCAATTTTAATTTTTTTAAAATAATACGTGTCAACCATTTTAATTCTAACGCGCTTATCTGTCGAAATAATTCTTTGAATAATTCATCTTTACTTTTATTTTCATCACTTGCTTTTGATATATCATCTAAAAATGTATTTATTCTATCTATTGTAAATGATTCCTTTTGTGGTGACAATTGTTTTCGTACAATCGAATAAACTATTTCAGCTAGGTCACTTCCATTAGAATTATTTGATGTGGGTATTCTGAAATAGAAAATATATATATATTAATATTATTGCAATAATAATAATAATTTTTACAAAAATATGATATAAAAAAATGTACCTGTAATTTATCAATTTTTGAGCATCTTTACTCGACTTTCCTAAACAAAGTACACGAATGTAAATATTCACCAATAATTTCTGCTTTAAATTATATGATTTACGTTCACGATCGCAATCTGGTAAAAGCAATCTCAACACGGGAAATATCGAAATATTCTAATAAACAAAATATAAAGAAGTATTATTAATGTTTTAACAAAAATTCATTTACTTTTCTTTCTAACTCACAGCATTTGGATTTTCTTCTATTAATTTAGCACCATCCTTTTGATATTGTTGAATAAATTCTCGTAAAATTTTAATCTTTTCGGAAGCATTAACTTTGATAATTCTTTCCAAGATTTCACACAATTGTTTAAATTTAATTCTTGATGATAATGACACACTCATCTTGAGATAAATCTTTAAAGATATAAAATTACAAAGTTAACAAATTTATTGCAATTTTTTTTTTCTTTTTCATCAAATGGGTTTCTCAGAAATTATAGACAGATTATATTATATTTACAATTACTTTATTTTTATATACAAACTATTACTACTTTTGGTATAAAAATAAGCGTAGGAACTGTATAACTTATATAGTAAGTGTATTTGTACTTATTGTATATAGTACAATATATACAATATACAATAAGTGTATTTGTATTTATTGTATATAGTACAATAAACAATATACAATATACAATAGTATATAATACATATAAATATTGTATATCGTACTTATACAGTAAGTGTATTTGTACTTATTGTATATAGTACAATANACAATATACAATAGTATATAATACATATAAGTATTGTATATCGTACTTATACAGTATATACTTAAATATACTATTTATTTTTTATACAGTAATATAATCTTCAAGATACATTCTAGCAAGTTGAAAATTCTCAGATTGTAGATATATAAGATGAAGATTAAAAGCAGCTTCTCTCTTCAAGTGTAAAAGTTCTTCATGTTGTTTAACTAATTCTCCTGGATCAGTATGAAGAACTAATTTATAATAATGTATGGCTGATGGAAACATTCCAATTTGATGAAATAAACGTCCTGTGTTATAATACGTTTCATGTCGACCATCCTCTCCTCGTAGTTGAGCATATATCCTTATAAATGCAAGAGCTACAATTTAATAATAAATAATTCATATATCCAATCATTTGTAATTTCATATATATATTTCATATTTTGAAACTTTGATATAAATATATTAATTACCTTGAATTATTAACTGATTCTTTTTCATAGAATTCTTTTGGCAGGCCATTTGTAACATTGTTACAGAAATTAATAAAGCTAGTAATGCATTAGGTGTTACTCTGAAGAGTGATATATAATCATTGAGAGCATAAGTGTATGTTCCTGAGACGAGACAATTATTTGCATGCATTATATGCAATTGAGAAAATGCATCTTCTCGTCCAAGTAAACGCATTATGAATCTATTGTGTCGAGAATCTTCAGCTCTTTGAATAACTATATTAAGCAAATTGATTGAATTTGAACGTCGACAAACTTTGACTATTTCGCGAATAATATTGTATCCATGAAAGGAATCGTTATTGTGAATGCATGATATCAAACATAGGAATACGATATGAGAATTTCTCTTCTCAAATCTTTTTGATGTCAATGCACTAAAACATAATCTTTGAAGTAATCCAAATTTTTTAGTTGCGTAAGCTAATTTACACATTTGAATGAGTAAAAGAAATTCATTCTTTTCACTTGGTTCTTCGCTATTAATAAACGTTGGTTGATTTTCTTCTATAAGTTTTTCACCGCAAGATAATCTATGCAATTGTAATGATTCAAGACGTTGACGTACTCCAGTTGCTCTTGTTAAAGCAGTAAGTTCTGGTTTGGATCTAATATTACTACAATGTCTTGAAAGTAATAACATTCCTGATTTAAAATATTCGTCATATTTTTGATTTTTGTAAAGTAATAGTGTTCTCATGTAAATAACATTAGGATCCAATGTGTCCAATTCTGGATCTTGTTTAAGAACTTCTGCAGCTTTAGCATATTGTCCTTTAAATTTATAAAGTTTAGCTAATGCTAGTCTAGCACCTAAATGTTGAGGAGATAATTGTTTAACTACTTCATAAGATTTAATAGCTTTTTTTAAATCTTTACAACCAACCCAACATTCTGCGTGTCTCAACCAGACAGCTGCTAAACTAAAATTAGTACTTTCGACTAATGGATCTAATAAAAGAAGAGCTCGTTGAAATTCATTTTTACCCATAAAAGATTCGGCTACGTCTAAAAATAAATCTCCAGACATTTCTGGATCTTCCGTTAACAATTTAGGTAAAAGTTTATCCGCCATATTTATTTCATTAAGTTCGATAAGTGTTATAAGAAATTTGGCTTTTAAATCTACTACAACGTCATCTGGCATATCACAGGTTTCTATTACACGTACTTTAGGAGATTCGGAATCATTTTCATCCGAAGTTTCTTTAAATTTAACCCAAATACTGGTATACTTAATTAAAATGTCTAAACATCTGTCAAAACGTTTTAAACTAATTAACAATTCAGTCATAATATTAACTTCTTCTAATGTTATCAATTCAGGACATTTAACAAAAATACAATCCATAGCTTGGAACGCTTGTTCGTTATTATTCTCTTGCATGTGTCGTTTGGCTAATAATTTAGCATATTTCAATATATCTTGGCCTTGATCAGAATCCAAATGATGTAATAATCTAGTATAAGCTTTAATATGAGCTTTTTTATCACCATTCTGTTCTTCAAGTTCTATCAACGTTTCATACAAATGTACATCCTTTGGACTAGCTTGAATTGCTTTGGAATAACACATTATCGCTTGATTAATATTCCCACTCTCCATTGATAAATTAGCCAATCTGGTCCATTGATCTGCATCCTTTGGACTAAGATGTGCAGCTATTAATGCGTATTGTAATGATCTTTCAGGTTGATCATTTTCATATATCATTGCTAACGTTTGAAATGGTTCTGGAGCACTTGGTGCTTGCCTATAGAAGTAATTAATAATAAATTAAATCAACGGATACTCTTTGATTATTATTTCAAATCTTCTACAACTTGGATATGAAAATAAAAACTTGCCTAATTATTTCCATACATAATTTCTCCGCAATATCTATTTCTCCTCTAGCAAAACGTATATTAGCTTCACCCATTAGACCTTGCAAAACGGGTGGAAACATTCTTCGTCTTTTTCTTGGTCCTGACGATGATAACGTCCTTTGTTTTTCTTTTTTATTAACAACTTGTTGCGAAACTTCTTGCTCCTTTTCTGTATCTCTTCTAAAAATGATATTATCTATTAGTAAAAATTCATTAAATGCAAATGTGATATATTCCTTGTAGTACATACTCATTTATATCCATATCTGAGATTTCTGGGTCTGGAGTTTCAATTATTTTAGATGAATACTCGCTGAACGTTACTTCACCATTCACAAATTGTTTAGTCAATCTTTCTTCTTCGATTAATATCATATTTTGGTCATCAATCTCCATTAGAATATCGTTAACAGAACTACCTTCTTGAGAACACATGTACGATGAAATGATTGTTTCAGATACATCCTGCACTTTTAAAGCTTTAGCTTCCTTGAACTCGGTTATATCCACGTTCATGGAATTGATAGCATTTTCATCCAATTCTTCTATGATTATTGGAATAATAGCACTTTTATCGTGTTCAATGATCATTATGTTTTCTTTCTGTTCGTTGTTTGATTTAACTTCTGAATTTGTTTCAATATCCATGTTTGTTTCATTATTATCCACTGTTAATTCCTCCATTTTGCACTAATAACACAATGCAATTACTTTTTAATGAATACTTTTTGTTACTAATGTTTATTTATATTTTATAAAACAAGATTTAATTTACACTATTTAAATTGATATTTATTATTAAACACTTCACGCAATTATTATTATTATTATTATTATTATTATTATTATTATTATTATTATCATTAGATTTTATTAAATGAAAATTTAATCAAATTTGTGATTGATAAACATTATACACAAGTACACATTAAAATATAATTTAAATTAAATTTAATTAAAAATCGATTAATTTTTATCAATGCGATATATTAAAAATTTGCACTACTAAATAAAAAAAGGTTTTGTTGATAAAAAGGGTTAATTACGTTGTTGATTAAAAATAAAAATTTGTTAAAAAATATATTCTTTTGAATTTAAGGTTAGAAAAGTGACATTACTTTCTGATCCACCAAAAATATATATAAATGTTTTAAAAAAAACAAAGTAATAATTTACAATTTTAAAGAAATAATTAAAATAAAAAAATGAAATACTTACAAATAAATCGTCTACCTTGGTTTTCTTATTACTGCAACATTTATTTAGATAGAACTCTTACAAAAAGGGTAAACACTAGTCAAAAGCAATGCGACATTTTTAATCATTGAATACCAACATAGACAAGAAATTGATAACTAGAGAATTACTAAGTTCCTAGTAACTTATTTTTAATCTAGTATTTTATTTCTTTGGATTATTATCACGTGGTGTCAGCACTGAAATGTTATTTAACCTTATTTCGATACAAAAGTTCGATACAACTTCCGTCTTTAAATGCGATGAAATTTGTAAACACCGAAGCATGGATATCGTGATATATATGATTTTATTATGTGCAAACTTTAAAATGTCTCTACAATCGAAAATAACTATGATTAACCTTTAATATAAATAATAAATAAATGTATATGTGCAATATTTCATAATGTCAATTTATATGACAAATAAAACTTGAGGTTATGACGTGAAAAATAAATATATTGTTACCGTAAGTTAATATTTATTCTCTTGATCGTTATCTTGAAAAGAAAATTAAACATAATAATAATCTAAGCTTTATTGACATACATTTGCTTTTGTATACAGAACAAATATACTGCACAATAAATCAATGACTCATCATGAATGCCTATATAATAATGTTAGATAAAGAAGTTAATGTGAATGAGATAGAATAAAATGGTTTATTTTAAAAACCTATATATTATTAACTTACTTTTTCATTAAATTGTGAATAATTTCTTTGTGTAATCATTCATATATATATATATATATATATATATATATATATATATATATTTTGTTTTTTTAGTTCGTGCCAATAGTATGAAGTCGCCTATATCTTGGACGTATATTACTTTGGTATTATTACTTAGCTTTGGGAAAAACTCATGTAATAACCAATTAAACTGTACGTCAGAAGAAGAAGAACAGAATCATCATAACTCGGCACACAACAAGTCTCATGATACCTCAACGATATCATCATGTGATATGTATAATAATATGCATGAAGTTAAAATTCAATTTTCATCTAGAATTGTTAAAAATGAATATATCGTAGCGTTCAAAGGTTATTACACGCCAAATGCACGTCAAAATTATATACACGCTGCATTGAATTCATCCGGTGTTAATAATTGGAAATTACTAACCAGAAATAATTTGGCTAGTCATTATCCTAGCGACTTTGATGTAGTACTTTTAGAAGAAACTGATAATTTTCATGGTCTCAATGCCTTAATGGATCATCCGCTTATTAAAAGAGTAACACCTCAACGATTAGTACGTAGAAGTTTAAAGTATATTAATATCACTGAAGAAGGAGAATTACCTGAGTATAAAGTATTCAAAAGGAAAATTACAACCTACGTATGTTTTTAAATATTATTATTGATAAGATTCTCATTCATAGAACTTATTTTATTACAGAAACATATATTTTGTTTCAGGGAAGTAACTTTTGGCAACCGATAAATCGTCATGCATCTCGTAGATTGTTACGTGCTATTCCAAGACAAATTACAACTACTTTACAAGCGGATGCTTTATGGAACTTGGGTTTAACGGGTCATGGTATTAAGGTAATTATTAAAATAATGATAAAAATGAATGTCATTTAAAATAAAACTTTAAAACGTATTATACATTTACAGGTAGCAATATTTGATACAGGATTAGCTGCCAATCATCCACATTTTAAAAAAATTAAAGAACGTTCCAATTGGACTAATGAAAAAACTTTGGATGATGGTGTTGGTCATGGAACATTTGTTGCCGGTGTTATAGCTTCATCTTCCAAAGAATGTCTTGGATTTGCACCGGATGCCGAATTGCATATTTTTCGTGTTTTCACTAAAACTCAAGTATGTATAATATTCTTAATCGTGTATAGAAAATTTAAATGATATTATTTTATATGTCCTTGTTATAGGTGTCATACACATCATGGTTTCTTGATGCATTCAATTATGCTATACTAACTAAAGTCACTGTATTAAATCTTAGTATTGGCGGTCCAGATTTTATGGATCATCCATTTGTTGATAAAGTTTGGGAACTTACAGCAAATGGTGTAATCATGGTATCCGCAATTGGGAATGATGGTCCTCTTTATGGGTAAATCTTAATTATTCTTATTATTTATATAATTGATTGATAAACAAATGTATAATACAAATTTCTCATATTTTGTATAGAACATTAAATAATCCTGCCGATCAAATGGACGTCATTGGTGTAGGAGGCATCAATTGGGAAGATCAAATAGCCAGATTTTCATCGAGAGGTATGACAACGTGGGAATTACCATCCGGTTATGGAAGAGTCAAACCAGATTTAGTTACATATGGATCAGGAGTTAGAGGTTTGGCATTGCCAAATGGTTGTAAAACACTTTCTGGTACTTCTGTTGCTAGTCCTGTTGTAGCTGGTGCTGTAGCACTTTTGGCAAGTGGCTTTGTTGAATCAAACAATTCGCTAAATATTAATAAGAAGGTAATTACTGTTCTAGAAAGTATATATATATATTGATTTTAACAAAATTTAATTATTTTTGTTTTGATTATAAAAAGATAACACCAGCTAGCATGAAACAAGCATTGCTCAGTTCAGCACGACGTTTATCAGGTATTGGTATGTTTGAACAAGGAGCAGGAAAATTAGATTTGTTGAGAGCGTATCACTTTTTAAAATTATATACGCCTATGTGTACTCTCAGTCCAAGGTAGCGAATATTTTATTAGTAAGAAATAAATAGAAATGACTAAAATACACTGAGATTATCTATGTTTAATAGATAATATAAATTCAGTTATATAGATCTAACTGAGTGTCAGTATATGTGGCCATATTGTACTCAAGCCGTTTATCACACCGGTATACCAACCATCGTAAATATAACTATAATTAATGGATTGGGTGTCTCGGGTCATATTACTGATCTGACTTGGCATCCATATACTGGTAATGGTAATGGTGAACGAATTGATATATCATTAACGCACAGCGATGTTTTATGGCCATGGTCTGGCTGGTTAGCCGTTTCTATAACCGTTCCATCAAGTTCTCGTGATTGGCAGGGTATAGCACAAGGTAATTTAATAATTATTATATTTCAAAAATCATGTTAATAATATGTTCAAACATATAGGTCATATATCTATAACTATAACGTCACCACCAAGTAATGGGGAAGAAGAACCACGTCAATCAACCATTGATTTACCATTAAAAGCCAAAGTTATACCAATTCCACCACGACAGTAAGTATATATCATAAATATTATAACTTATATATAAATATATTTATTGTATAATTAATATGATTATTATATTTAACAGCAAACGTATTCTTTGGGATCAATACCATAACTTACGCTATCCTCCAGGATTTTTTCCAAGGGATGATTTAAGTGTTAAAAATGATCCCCTAGATTGGAATGGTGATCACATTCATACAAATTTTAAACATATGTATCAACATTTACGCAATGCTGGATATTATCTTGAAGTACTCGGTCATCCATTTACTTGTTTCAACGCTAAAAATTATGGAACGTTATTAATAGTTGACGCGGAAGAAGAATTCTTTCCTGAAGAGGTTACATAATGTTATTTATTTCATTTGATTTTGATTTTGATTTATCAATTATTAAACGAAAATAATCCTTTCTTTTTTTTTGTTCTTTTTTATAGATAGCAAAATTAAAACGAGATGTCGAAGAGGATGGACTTTCTGTAATTATTTTTGCAGATTGGTATAATGTTACTGTTATGAGAAAAGTCAAATTTTATGATGAAAACACTCGCCAATGGTGGGTTCCTGATACTGGAGGTGCTAATATTCCAGCTTTAAATGATCTTTTATATCCTAATTGGGGAATAGCATTTAGCGATCACGTACAAGAGGGTCAGTTTACTCTTGGTCAACATTCACCAATATCTTTTGCTTCTGGATCAACTATTACTCGGTAAATAATCAAATGTAATAATTTATTCCAAGAAATTCTATAGGAATATTGAGATGTTATATTTTTACATGAAACAAACAAGATTTCCAAAGGATGGTGTTTTACTTTATGCAAAATTACGCGATCAAGGTGAAGAATTTATTTTGGAAACGGAACCGAAAACGTCCAAACTTGTACCAATACTTGGACTGTTACAAACCAAACGTTATGAAAATATTCAAGAAAATTATAATATTGTTAAAAATAACGATATTAAAGATTTGGAAGAAGATTTTCCGGATGACAATCATGAGAAGGAACATGTTAACGATATACCTGGAAGAATTGTAGTATACGGAGATTCAAATTGCATTGATGACAGTCATTTGCAAAAACGTATAATATTATTTTCAATTAAATCAAATAATTGTATGTATATATATATATATTTATATATTAAGTATATTGAAGAAAAATATAATATTTTTCTAGCTTGTTTCTGGATGCTCGATGCCATCTTAGAGTATACTACGACAGGTCGAATAGCAACCATATTTATCAATGAAAATTCACCACCGAATAAAGATTCAAATGAATTGGATCATTTCGAGAATAGTGTATTACCTAAACGAATAGAAAATAGTAATTTCAAACGTCATAGTAAGGTAATAGCATCCGAAGGAACTGGAGCTAATCGTTATCGACCATTACCATTGTGTCCCATTCTAACATTAGCTGTACCAAAACCAGTTAACGAATCTGCACCGACGTAAGTATAATATATTTTGTTTCATTCGTTTATAATTATTAATTATACAAAATAATATTTACAGAAATTTATACAAATCACAAAAATTACTTTCCGTGGACAATGGAATAATAGCCGCCAATCCAATTCCACCAGAAGATTCATTGTGGTTTAAACGACATATTGGAGCTAATAATGTTCCTTTGTTATATAATAATGATTTAAACGGAGTCGTTCATAAAAAACAAAATGAACAAGACTTTGAAATGACTGTGAACGAATGGTATTATATAGGAATAATTATTATAATAGTTACATTACTTTTATGTTTTCTTAATCGCTGCAATTGGTTGATATTTAGAAGACACTCTAGAAGAAAACGAACAGTTGGTAAATTGCGTAGACTTATACAAACTTTTAATCCTATACGCAGGTAGCTTGGAAATGGTGTGTGATCTAAAAAAAAAAAAATAATGCTTGTAAAGACAAATTTTATAAAATAGTTTTATAACATTTTTGTTTATAGATATATTTTATATAGACAACACAATCAATCTTATGGTATATATAAATATTCTATAAGCTAAATAACACTTTATCAAATTTCTCTCTATTAATTATTCAAAGATTGAGAACTAAAAAAAAAAAAAAAAAAAAAAAAAAAAAAAAGGGGTGCTTAATGTTGTGCCAAAAATTGAATATCCTTCGACAAATTCTTGATAAGAAAGATTATTAGAAAGTTACAAAACATATCGCCCCCCCTCTCTCTATATGCTTTAAATTTCCTTTTTAAAATGATATCATTAAAAAAAAAAAAAAAAAAAACTTGGACAAAAATTTTAGAAAAGTATTGTGTATATCTTGTGATTTATTAATATTTAAAATATGTTTTATGTAATTACTTAAAGAAAATCGTTTAACATTAGAACGTGTTATTCCTGACCTATATTACACAAGTACTGGTAAAGTTTTAAAACTAATTGTGTTTCATTTTTATAGGTAAGTTCGGTTTTTTTTTTTTTTTATTGATATGATAAATATAATATAATTTATTGGAATGGGAAGTTTAGAAATTTATTTAGATAATAACGAATTTACAATGTGTTCATCACATTTTCATATTTTATATCACGACTATGATATTATTATTTCAAATATTGATGTCAATTTAAATCGGTACAGTTTCTGGCGGTGGTATTGCTTTACATTCATCAAGAGTTTTATAATAATAACTGTATCTATGATATAATTTTATTTCCCATGCACCTTGTTCTTCAATGAGAGAAAGTTTAATACCAAGGTCCTCTAACGTAGGTAAATCTTTCGAAACAATATCAGTTGTGCTATCCTATAAATAACAGATAATAAAATACAAATAAATAATGAAATCTTCTTCTAATTTATATTATTACAAAATATAAGGAATATTAAATGATCAAAATAATGTATACTTTTTCTATAGCTTCCCAATGTAAATTGTTATAACGATTTTTAAATCCAAAAGCATCGCATAAAGATACTTTCACTTTAAAAGGTATAGCTAGATTTAGATCTAATATTTGACCATAATTTTTATCCCAATCATCCAATATAGATCTTTGAATCCATTCAACTAAACTTTTCAATTTGTATCTTCTTGGTCTAAAACAACAAAATTAATTATATAACATAATTAAGTATTAAAATTATTTTCAGATACGTACCCAACAAATTGATAAGTTTTTCCAGCAGTATTAGGATCTAATACGATAGCAACTATACCAGCAGCTACATCGGCTACATGAACTGGTTGTTTCTCCGTTTGTTCACCCTTTTTCCAAAGTACTGGTAATCTATCATAATATAAAATGTATGAATAGAAAAAAAATCATATTTTCATTTGCATAATCATAGATATACATATTATTGTACACGTACGAAAATTGTTGATTCCATGGTTCACTGTAAAAGGTTAAAAATCTGTCTCCCATTCCATATACAGTCGCTGGACGAATTATCGTTGCTTCAGGAAATTCTTCTTTAACAGCGCATTCACCTTCCCATTTTGTTTTTAAAAATTGCGAACCCTCTTTCAATATCAACGGCTTATACAAATACAAAATAATTGATTTATTAACATTAACTTAATGATTTGTAATTTATCATATTAATTAATTCGTTTAATTAATTACCTTAGGGTTAGGTGATACATTTAATGAAGAAACATGAATGAAACGTTCCACACCGGCTTCTTTGGAAATCCTAGCAAGTCGTCTGGCTCCTTCAACGTGTACATCCTCATAAAAATAATTATTAGTTTCCCAATCTTTACCTATTAAATTAATGACTACGTTAGAATATTTCACGCATTTGCGAATGGCCTCTTCATCACGTAGATTGAATTCGTGGAAAAGTACTTGTCCAAGATCACCGCAAAGTTTAAGATGCCGAGTGAAATAATAATCTGAGCGATGTGGAAGAATCAACTATAAAAAAAAATAGAAAAAGTATGTATATTATTTAAACGGATAAATATTGGAAACAATTATATTCCTATTACAATATAGTAAATGTTGTTACTACGTAATAATAACTGTTGCTTTAATAATGGAACAATGATCCATTTAAACTATGACTATATCTCTTACTTATTTTGATACGCGTTGTACACATAAGAGTATGACATGCCTGTGTTCCAATCTTTCCAAGGCGATTGCACAAATAACGTCCAATGAAACCGTTATTACCAAAAACTGTGCATACTATTCCATTGAAGGAGGAACGTCCTCCGGTACCTCTTTTTAAAGAAGCTGTAGTCGGATTTTTAATAATACGTGGCTGATTAGAATAATTATTCCCTTGTACAACGACACTAGCAAAATGTATTGTTTGCAATCCTAAAATATCAAATAAATAGATAAAATGATTACTATTACATAATTATATACTAGAATATAATTTATGGTATGACAAAATAGATCAGTATTATGTGTTAATGATATATGTATTGTTCGTTAATTTTAAATCTTACTTGACGTCTGAAAGTAATTCTTTAAAATAACAGCTGACATTTTTGACTAACAATTGTAAAACACAAAGGTTAGTCTAAAAAAGATTACTGTTCAATATTTACAGACTATCCATTTTTTTTTTTTTAGTAGCAGAATGTCGAAAGTATTGCCAATGTGACGTCAACAAATCTTTTCACTATTGTTATTTAATAGCTTAAAATATTCGTTATTTTATCTATGAAAAAGTAACGTATATTATATTATTGGTTGAAAAATACGAATACATCTGTAATATATAAATATATAAATAATAATATAAATTAATATATTTAAATTTCGGTGTTATATTTAAATGCTACGTTCTCGACGCTGATTGGTCGTTATAAACCAATCCATGAAAATTAACCCAAATGTTCATTTCTCTTAGTCGATGGAACATCTTGTATTTAATATAATCTATGATTAAAATATTTTAGCAGACGACACTCGAATCGACTTGACAGCTCACTGTGTATCTTCACGTGTCCCTTTGCGCATCGCATTGCGTAACTGGAGTCCGACTTCCAGGGAGGAGCTCCCTTTTTCGGTGAGTAAATGCAAGCTGTCAAAAAAAAAAAAAAAAAAAAAAAAAAAAAAAAAAAATTAATGTGCTATCAAAAGAAAGATAAAGAGAGAAACATAAAAAAAAAAATAAAAAAGCAATATATAATATACATATATATGTATATATATATATATATATATATATGTATGAAGTATGTATGTATGTATACATATGTATGATATATATATATATATATGTATATATATACACATACAATAATGTGTCATGTGTCGGTAATTAATAATAAAAGTTGAATTAATCGTGTGATTTACGGTACACAGCTGATTAATCTTAAGTTGTTATGATACAACAACTCGAGAAAACTGCTCAGTTTATAAGCAACCAATTGGGTACTACCAAATGAAGTTTTCAGCCAATCGTGGTTACTCTGTTCAACCCGAGGTCAAACAATAGAACCAGCATCCGACATCCTATTACAACATATCATCGTTGTCAAGTTGCGTGCTTTTTAACGAACGTTTTTAACTTTCGCGATTTAATTCGTCGATTTAATCTATATTTGACAATATTTTTAACGCGAATAATTAAAATATATTAAATGAGTATCAGGCAAGCATTCTACGAATGAAAAAAAGGTAAAACTCGACATGCAAATATCCGAAACAGTTACTGATTCCGCTTTGAACGTAACCTGAGCTAGCCAGCTGAATATCAATATTATACGTCTCCTTCGCTTTCCTTGCAATCGATGTGTGACTTCATATTTCATTTCAATTAGACGCGCGATATTAGTTTTCTTTATTCTTTTTTATTTATCTCTTTTATTACGCGAGATTGCATCGCGTATTCGTATTAAAAGAGTTTTGTGTACGGATTTTTCTTTTTTTTTCTTTTTTCTTTTAATTTTATTTTATTTTACATAATACATATTATCCAAAGATATAGGAAGAAAAGTGATTATTATATATTTGTGACGTGTTCATTTAAATTCATTTACAATATGCATGGGAACTAATATACTGCGATAATATACAATACGTAATTTCTAATGGAAGTGTAGAAATGACGTTCCACGGTCTGTAAAAATTATCCATCATGTTGTATACAAATACATGAAATTTATTTTTAAAAAAGATAAGGGTTTTTTGTTTGTTGAAACATTCACGATTAAAAGAAATTATTTATTTAAAAACAAAAAATATATATATATTTTTCTTCATTTTTGTGTATTTACATAGAGTATAAGTAAATGTCATTAAACGAATCTTCTGTAACACATACAAACTGTTATTTCTATTTAATTACCGTCGATTTAAAAATGATTATAATAATCCTGATAACATTCCTATATTTCTAATTGCATCATTTTTCTTAACTTTGAATTATTCGTTGAATAGAAGTAATCAAAATATCAATATTTTTTTTCTTTCTTTTCGTTTTATCTTCTCACTGTTATTTATTATACATTTGTTAACAATCGATAATTAACAAATCCTATATTATTATAAATATAAATTTGTAGAAGTATATATAAACAATAAATTATTTGCAATCGGTATATCGAGTATGAAAATAATCGATTAAATATCGTATTCCAATGAAACGTCAATCAGATGTCAGTAAGCAGTATTCAAATAATCGCGCGCAAGGAATTAATTTCGTTGCGCATCGCAGACTGTCGCTATTGCGCATGTGACGTTATCATTTTGATTGGCGGTGGGGGAATCAGAGGCAGGCAGAGTAATCTCTGTGCTTCCAATTCCAACCAACCCCGCTGCTGGTAACGAGCCTCGTCGCATTCTTCGTATAGAATCGTGCTTTCAGTTTACCACGGTGGTGCGCGTTTGGCGTGTATTTCGATGTGTGGCTTATTGTGCGCCGTGTAGAGAGGTGGGGAGGGGTGGGAGTGAAGGAGGTTGTGTGTAGTGATAGTAAAAGACGATGAGGAGGAGAAGTGGTGGAGAAAGAGGGATGGAAACACACATTGGTTGAAAACCGTTCACACTACATATATACTTTAGTCAGTTAGGTTTGCGTGCGCGTAAGAGAGTCGTCCTGTTCCCGGACTGTGGATAAACGTATGTATGTATGTATTCTAAGGAAGGACATAGACTGGCTACTATCGTCAAAGCTTTTCCCAGTCAGAGAGAAGAGAATTAACATTTCCTCGTAATTCCCTGGGCATGTTTTACCGACATTCAGGTAATACACACGACGACAATAGTCTCATCCCCTCAGTAAGGGCTGGGAAAGGGTTAGGGGGGAAGGGACCGGTCGTTTCTACCCTCATGCGCGAGAGATTTACTTTTTTGGTGTACCTGAGGTCATACAGCACGTATACACAGGCAGGCACGCACGCACTCACACATATACATATACATACATCAGGCTCCAAGAAAGAGAGAGAAAGAGGTGAGGTGGGAGTGGAGAGGGCTAGCGGGGTGGGGTGGGGTGGGTTTGATCGGGGAACGGGGAGGAGGAGGTAGTGGTGGAAAAAGAACTCGTCCTCCATTACTTGCTTGCAAGCAAATGGTGGATCGTGCTGCTTATATGAGTCTCTTTGTTAAATTCCTTTCTATCTATCTTCGATCATTTTCGTCATACTCATTTATCTCGCGAACGTTGTTGTTATTAGGACTATTCATCTCAAGCCTTTCACCGAGCCCCCATACAGATGATGTCAATGGCACAATTTTGCATTGTTACCCTTATCGCGGATGGACTTCAGTTACAGTGTTTGTTATGATTCTTCTGCCTTTACCATATTACTATCTCTTTCGCTGCGTAGGAAATACATTAATTGCGTGTTATTCACTAGTCACGGTCTTCTTCTTATCACCCTGCGCACCGATTTAACACGGTTTGTATATATTATATATTACATATATATATACATATATATATATATATTTTTAAGTCTACTATTTCCCCCCCCCTCCACCACCACCACCACTAAGTCCTCTTTTTCTTTTTCTTTTTTTTTTCTTCTTTCTCTTTCTCTTTCTCTTTCTATCTCTCGTAGAACACGCTACAAGCAAAGAGCAAATTTTTTCATAATTAAAGCTCTATTTTTACCCCTTCCCCTCCCTTCCATTACCACCCTCTCCTCTTATTCCACAAAAATTATAAAATAACTAGCAAACAAGCCTTATGGGATAAATTCTAAGAAAAAACGTATACGTATGAGTATTCCTTTTTCTTTTTTTCTTTTTTTTCTTTCTTTGTATATCTCTCATTGTCTCAAGGAGTTATCATCATCCTTTTTTTCTTTTTCTTATTTTTATTTTCAATATAACGATTTAGATTAAATAATATCGTTTGATTAGATAGTTGAAATGTTACTTGCTTTGTTTCAAAAAAGATTTCAAGTTCTTTATTGATATATATATATATATATATATATATATATCAGTAAAATTTCTTTGTCATTTGTAACGTTAATTGAGAACAAAGATACGTGTGTATTGATCCTCAGATTATACATTGGCTAATTTAGTTCAGATAACCTTTTTATTGTTTGATAGATCAAGTTTGATATGTTCACACCACGTGTTTTGGTTAGAATACAAATCATACATATTTCTTCATGTATATCTCAAATTTTATTATAATATTTTATAATAATACAATAATTATTTATAATAATAATAATAATAATAATAATAATTGATTACTTTTGTTATAGGCAGTATAGTGGCATGAGTCAATTAATCTATGGCAGATCAACAAGATCAGTTGTTGTCAGGGGGGTCTGTAGAGAAGGCCAGTGCTTCAGCGGGGACCTCTAAAACTAGAGAAAAAAGTTCAGGCAGTGGTACAAGCAGTTATAGAAAGCGACAAAGTAGTAGCGGTATTTCTGTGCCGGTAGAAGAGAAAAGACGTAGACAAACTATTGGCAATCCGCAACAAACTCAGGAAATTGACAACGCATCTACGCATAGACATTCTCTAGATACTTCTAAAGGAGAGGAGAAGATAAAGGGTGAAAGTAGAAATCATGGAAGTGGTTTAGGACCATTCCTAGGTAATTTATAAAATAATAAAATCAAATAAAGTACAAGACATATGTTCAATTAGGATTACAATGTTTGGTTATGTTTCAAACTTTGTTTTGATTCATTTTCAATATATGTCCTTTTCATTTAGATACAGATTGGAGACTGCAACACAAGGTACAGCAGTCTAATTGTGGTATTAGTGGTAATACAAGAGTACGCAACACGAGGACAAGTTTGCCAGAGTTAAATTTGACGGCTATAGATTGTGTGGCTTCCAGAACTCGTTCTCGTACTCCACAAAATTCGGCAGCATTATTGCAAGCAAACAATAGCTACAATTTATCATTAAATAGTGGCTATAGTAATCGAAAATCATCATCAACTTATAGCAATTTGGCGTCGTCGTCGAGCTCTTCTCCTGTTTCTAGTAATTCAACTACATCTAGGGAAAGAGGTTAGTTCATTTATTCTTTTATATTTAATAAGATGTTGATTGTAAAGATATATAAAGAAAAATAATAATTTAGTATATTTGTTGAAGTATTTTTTTAATTGAAATAACAATATTAAATATATTCTTCGTATACTTTGACAATCAACATGTATATTACGTAGATTGATTTTACTTAAGAGAAAGAACATTGATAGTTCTTATATAAAAGATTATATAAGATTTTAGAATTAGCCATTTTTATACTCTAATATTTATCAACTTATGAAGAGTATAAAGAGAATGATAGATAGATAGATAGATAGATAGGTAGATAGATAGATATACATATTTATTATATATATATACATAATATATACCATACATACACATATTATGTGGTGTGGCACAAGTGCAGCATATTAAGATCAATTTTATATATTCAATTTACATCTACCATATGTGTTTGGCAATGTGACCAACATGAGATGTTGATAACATGCAATAATTAAGTGACCTTTTTAAGAGCAATACGCATTTTAATTTTGAAAACATTTGATTTTATTTATATTAAATAATATTTCATTTAATATGAAATACTCTTACACTTATATATATATATATATACATAATATATAATTTATATATTCAATTAAATCAATATATATAAGTATAAAAATAATGTTTCACAAAGTGATTTTTAATATGCTTTCGTTTAATAGCTACACGCATATAATAAACATCGTTTGTTATTTTGATTTGTTCTAACTTATATGATAACTCTTTTTTTATTATTTTTTATTTTAAATAATTAATACGATACATATCAATATTATATATCTCAAATTGGTATATTTTGACTTATAGAAAACAGAACTGCACGTACATTGAAATTAATTCTAAACATACGTTTAATATTAATTACATATATATATGTAACAATCTTTGTTGTCTGATTTTTACTTTTATTTTAATTGAAACAAATATATCAATCAAAGTAATATCTTGCATGAACATTGCAATAACACATTGTACAATTACTTACATATAATATATTATAAAAATATAAATTAAAAAAAACGTATTAGGGTAAAAGATAGATTTGTGTTGTTGGTTTTTTTTTTTTTTCTTCTTTTTTTTTTTCTTTTTTAAAATTATTTAGAAAGAGAGATATATCAGAAATATCATTTAAAACAAAAATAAAAATAAAGAAGGTAGTGTTATTAAAATAAGAGTCATAGATCAGACTGTATCATTAGGCCTGAGGATGAGCGAATGTCTGGAAGGATTTGTGTCTGCTGTCAAAGCACTTTTTCCAATATCAACACAAACGTATCATCAAGAAGGTAAGCTTAAGGAGTACACAATTCGTACCACATTTTCTCTCTTCCCCTTATTTTCTCTTATAAATAAATAAATAAATAAAATAGGTGTAGATATTTTATAATGAAAAGGATTATATGCTATACTACTACTATTACTACTACTACTACTACTACATTTATTCAACTATATTATATATTATATAAACCTTCTTACCAATATTATACATGCAAGGTTTCTCTCTCATTCAAATACAAGATTTCAAAAAGAAATGATGTTTTTTTCCTTTCTATTATGCATGAAATTATTTTTATATTTATAAACAGAACAAAAAGAGTGCAGTTCTTGTGTGCAATTATTTCAAATTCTTCCAAACTGTACATTATTAAATAAAAACAAAATTGTAAATTGTTTTTAGTTTGATTTTTTTTTCTTTTTATTTAGTTTTGAACACACAATTTTTTAATTAAACCAAAAAAAAAAAAATAATCATTATTGATATAATCTTTTTATTTACAAACATTTTCGTGAAGTTTCATATGATTTGATGATATTCCTATGAACAACAATTTAATTGACTGACTAATATTAAACTTTTGTTATCACATTATTGCAATTATAATTTAAAATTATAAACAATTGAAAAAGATAAATATTACACAATTATATATATATATATATACATTATATTTTAAACAAATATTGAAAGTGATTAAATTATTACAAAATGAATAAATAGTTCAAATATTTTAAATACAATGTATGGATTATATTTAATATATATTTTTTTTAAAAAAGCGTATTGCTCTATTGTACATGTTAAAGAAATGAAAATAATATTGCAATCAATTTTCATCATGTATACATTTATATACACATAATGAATATTTACAGTTACGTGACTTAGACAAATTGAATGTATAAATTATTATACATTATGTTGTTAATGTGTTAAATGATGAATTAATTTATGTTTGTTCAATATTTTTCTGTAAACATGCTTATAATATTTCATATTTTTATTTTATTATATTTCTTATCAAAAGCACTTCATTAAAAAAAAAAAAAACAACAACAACAACAAAATATGAGTGCAAGAATTGAAAAAACAAATTTTGTATCTACATTTCTTTAAGTTACACATAATCTTCTAATTATTTATACAAAAGTACAACAACAACAACAACAAAAATGTATATTCACACTTTCAATATTCTTATTTTGATTTGATTTAGTTTGTGTAAATTAATTAACTTACGAAAATGTTTGAGTTTTATGATTATTCAGGAAAAGTTCAAACGACGAATGGCACAAAAATCTTTTTACAAATATTCACATGCACTGATATATCACAAAAAATAATATAATAAAAATATAATACACACGTTAAGTAGTATATCTCTGATGTGTAGGTAATTCAGAGAAATGAATTATGATGTGATAAATATTAAAGTTTAAATAAACTAATATCTGAAAATGAACATAAAAAAAAGAAAACTATATATATATATATTTATATATATATATTTAATATAACAATAAATAATTGGATGTTATTTAAAATATATTTTATAGGGTCCAAAGCACACGGTGGTGCGACTTGCACAAGTAGCAGTACGAGTAGTCAAATCTTGGGTGTGAAGTCCAACGTCAGAGTGGGTAACACAGCTAGCAATTCTGTGGAGAGTGGCGGGGGGGCGTTGGCACATGACGGGGCAGGCACTAGTGGCATTACATCAACAGCCACTAATAATCAAACTGTGTCTGCCACCGCTACTGCCACCCCTGCACACCCTCATCCTTCTCAAAAAAATCCACTTCGTTCGCGTATCAAATTGTTAAGCGAACAACAACCTAAGGAACTGCCATCGAGTAACAAGACTTCAGGAAAACATCATAAAAAAGATTCCACAACGGGTTCCTGCTCTAGTTCAAGGTTTGTTATCAATTTGAACAACACTGTTCTTCTTGTATTGTTTATTTTTCTTTTCTTTTGTTTTTAACTATATTATTATTATTACTTATATGTAAATATATATTATTTGTGTTACAATAATTCAAAATAGACATCGTTCTTCGTCAAGAGTACGAAAATCAATGGTGGAAAGTACTTCTGGTGGTACAGGAAATATAATGTCAGGGAATGAATCTATAACTAGCAGTGCTACGCCAACATCCGTATCATCTTCTATTCCTGGTAGCCAATTAGTTACTACAACAGGCGAAGACGAGGCAGGATCAGCTGTTACGTCTGCAACCGGTATTATTTATTAAACAACAAATAAAGTTAATTTTATCTCAGTATATATTTAAACAATAATAATAATAATCAATAATATATTTACTTTTCAAACAAGCGAGCGGAGGACCATCTGGATTATCCGGTACAACAGGAGACAGTGAAAGTGATGACGGTGAAGTTGGTAGATTACAAGCGTTATTAGAAGCTAGAGGTTTACCTCCTCACGTATTTGGTGCATTAGGTTCACGAATGCAACATCTTTTAAATAGAAGTATGGGAGCAAGTTCAGGTATGTATAATTTATATTAATAACATTTGTATATGAAACAGTTCATTATATTTATATGTTTCTATATAAAATATATAAACAAATTTGACTTACTTACTTTTGATTATGAAATACGTTTATATATATATTTATTTGTTGTTTTTTTTAATCAGCTGCTAAAGCACAACAACTTCTTGCTGGTTTACAAGCTGTTGATGACGAAGGCGAGCAATTACAAGCTGTTATAGGAATGGGAGAAATCCTTGTTATGGGAAATGAAGATACATTGACAGGTTTTCCTGTTAAACAAGTGGTAGCAGCTTTAATTAATTTACTTGGAATAGAACACAACTTCGTTATAATGACACACGCTTGTCGTGCTTTAACATACATGATGGAAGCTTTACCACGATCTTCTACCGTTGTTGTTGATGCAGTGCCAGTGTTTTTACAGAAGTTAGAATCAATTGAATGTATGGACGTTGCTGAACAATGTTTAACAGCTTTGGCTATGTTGTCTCGTCGACATAGCAAAACAATATTACACGCGGTATGTTTCTTGTTTTTCTTTTTTCTTTGTTTGTTTATTTATTTATTTGTACATCTTTAAAATATATTTGCTTGTTCGGTAAGTAATTTCATTTTTTTTTTCTGACACAATAAAGGCATTAGTTAATGCAAATTGGCAAATAACAACACGTGAGTTCAATGAGAGGTTAAGTTTATCAAATTCAACTGTTAATGCACACTTAAAAGGCCTACGTTTTAGGTTAGGATGCGAACATTTTCTTCATTTTTACAAAAGAAAAACGAAATTACTTTTCCGAACAATCCAATACAATAATTGTGTTAACTTAAATGACAATTATATTTGTATTATTTGATTTACAATTTATAAAGGGTGGTGTGTCAGCATGTTTGAAATTTGTTGATTTCTTCAATATCACGGCTCAACGCTCAGCATTAACGATCACAGCCAATTGCTGTCAAAATCTTCATCCTGACGATTTTCATCTAGTCGCAGAAAGCTTACCATTGTTAACAAACAGACTGACAAATCAGGATAAAAAAAGTGTTGAATGCGTCTGTCAAGCATTCAGTCGACTTGTCGATAGTTTTCAACACGATCCAGTTATGTTACATAAAATTATCAATGCGGAACTTCTGCAAAATTTACAACAGTTGGTAAGTCAATTTATTATATTATTATATTTTTACTAGGGGTGCCCCGGCCACGCGTTGCTTTAGCTATTTACAAAATATTTTCCTTAATGTGATCGCAGCACCAACTGTCGGGATCGAATAACTTCGATTATCGACTCGAATATCGACTAACTTCAACCTGTAAACTTTTCGCATAACAATTTATAAGTAAAAAATTAATTATATAAATAACTTCAATTGGACCGAATTGTAACGCTAAACCATTATCGAATCCACCTGAAGACACACACAAAATTTCATTAAAATCAGTCTAGCCGTTTAGGAGAAGTTCAATTACAAAAACGTGCACAGAAGAAATATATATATAAGATACTAGGAGTGCCCCGCGACGCGTTGCTGTGGCTCACAATCAATCCGATACACACATCTTTAAGTCAACGAATTACCTTATACCGCCATTTGTTAGAATCTTATCGAACTAACAGAGATAATCATGACTCTTTGTTAATAAACAAATAATATTGCTATTATAAATTGAGATATAAACTATCCTATCTTTCAAGTTGGATGAAATTGCACAGAGTGTGCAAAATTTGATTAAAATCGGTTCAGTAGTTTAAGAGTCCATTGCGGACAAACAACGTGAYACGTAATTTATATATATTAAGATAACATTATTAGTGTGTATATTAAATATTTATTTAATAATATTTTAGCTGATGATTACACCACCTGTAAACAGTATTGGCAACTTTATAACAGTGCTACGAATGTTATCTGTGATATCAAATCGCTGTCCTGATCTGGCACAGCTGCTTTTACAACAAAATATAGCTTTCACATTAAGTTATCTTTTAACCGGATCTTTGGAAATAAAAACTGAAGATGTAGAATTAGTACCACGTTCACCACAAGAATGGTTTGAAATAACATGTTTAATTGAAGAACTTATGCCTCCACTACCAACCGACGGTATATTCAGTGTAAATAGTTTACTCGAAAGGACCAGTAGTCAACAAGAAACAGTCCATTGGGAGTGGCGCGATGAAAGACATTGTTGCCATCCTTTCAGCACTATTGATTCTAGGATTATTGAGGTATTATGAAATGTAATTATTGTCCGTACCAATTAAATACAATTAATTACTATATATAATATATATATATATACATATTTATTTATATGCAAAAATTCTATTAGCATTGTCATTCATTCAATGTTCAATGAATTATTTACAGATGGCATTTCAAAATGGAGAAGATGAAATATGTCTATCCACTTTAGGTAGAACATACACAATAGATTTAACTGTGATGAAACAGATCAATGAAGACATTGGAATGGCACGAAGTATATTTCGCAGAGTAAATGCTCATCCTGTAGAGGGTAAAAGTCCAACTTGTTCATCGAGGTAATTAACATTTTGTAATATTTATTAAGCACATATATACATGTGTTCTAAATAAAAAATCAATTGATTTATTTTGTAGTATGGATTTAGTACCTCCAGTAATTGAAACTAATGAATGGTTGGTATCTTTTATACGAACTTTATTCTCTGTACTCTATGAAGTGTATAGTAGTTCAGCCGGCCCTGCTGTAAAATGCAAATGTTTACGTGCACTTCTTCGTATGGTATATTATGCCTCCACTGAATTATTAAAGGTTAGTACAAATAATAATAATAATAATAATAATAATATAAAGTTTATAATTAATAATTTATGTAATTATAATTTTCATTATAGGATGTTTTAAAGAATCAAGTAGTATCATCGCATATAGCAGGAATGTTAGCGTCACAAGATTTAAGAATAGTTATAGGAGCTTTACAAATGGCAAGTATCTTAATGAAAAGATTACCGCAAGTATTTGGGGTCCATTTCCATCGTGAAGGTGTTTTACATCAAATACGACAATTGGCTGATCCTGAAATACCTCTTGGAGTTTCACCGCCCAAGTGCTCTTCTGGTTAGTTATAATAACAAATATATTCTTTTTAATTAAATGATTTTAATTGAAGTATACAAATATTATCATTTTTTTGGTAAATAGGTACATCATTACCAAGTCCACAACCAGGTCCATCTACACCTATTTCTTCCACCATGATGTTGTCCTCTAGTAGTGCTACGTCTCCTATTGCTTCTCCATCAACAAACGGTAATATATTATTTGGTGCAGTTGCGACATGTCAAATGAAACCTAACCTAACACCAACGATGGATACACATGGTAGAACCGATTTAAATACACCTGTAGATAATGCAACTACACCGCAAAGTGCTCATCTGTAAGTTCGAAACATTTTATCATAAACATTAAACAATATATATATAAACAACGTTTATATTATAATTTTGATTTTGTTCATTTCAACAATATTAATACAGTTATTTTATTAGAAGGATCGGAGATGTTTTGAAACGAAAACGTCAGAACAAAAAAGGTCGGTTCTCAAGATTGGGTGGTACGACAACACAACAAACTCAACAACCGGAATCACTTTTCACCGGTTTTACACAAAAGAATAATAGATTTTTGGGAAATCTTAATCCGGCTAGATGGGGAAGAAAATCATCATCTTCAAGCAGTGTTAGTGATAAGAGAGACACAAGTTCATCGACCAGTTTATCCAAACCCCCAAGTAATCCAAATTTATCAGGTGGTAATCGGGATAAGGCTAAAGCATGGGTACGTGAACAAGCTGCACAATTCTTAACAAGATATCAGGATGATGCACCTTGCACACACCCTGCATTAACGGTTCTTGGGCGACTTACAGCCGCAATACAACGATTACAATCAAATGTAAGTAATAATCAAATAATCTAACAATAATCCTTGTTGTTGTTGTTGTTATAATTCAAATATTATTTGTCTCTTTTTTTGTGTTCAATAGTTATTAGATGAAATGTACTCAGCGCTTACCGAATTACGGGATATCGTATTAGAAAGTGATATATCTCCGTTTGAAATGAATTATAGTGGTCTTATAAAAGCATTGTTGAACTACCTCACAACCACTGACGCACCTGGAAGTCGTTATGATCGTTTACGGATGTTCTGGCAACGATTTGCGGAATCTACTGTAAGTAATTGTTTCTTTTTTTTTTTTTTTTTTTTTTTTTTATTAACATTATGAAATATTAAAATCTTAATTTGATATTTATTACAAATGTTTTTTTTTTTTTTACAGATAAAGCAAGACAACAATCTCATAGATCTTCAACCTGGAGCATTCGGTGCTCTTGTAGCAAAATTAAATAGTTGTGTTGCCCAATTAGAACAGTTTCCAGTAAAGGTTCATGATTTACCTGCTGGATCTGGTGCTGGACGTGGAGGAACTAGTGCTCTTAAATTTTTTAATACACATCAATTAAAGGTAAATCAAAAAGAAAAATAATACAAGAAGAATTAGGTATAATCTAGTAATTGTTTCGTTACAGTGCAACCTTCAACGGCATCCAGATTGTAATAACTTAAAACAATGGAAGGGTGGTACTGTAAAAATTGATCCTCTTGCATTAGTGCAAGCAATAGAAAGATATTTAATGGTTCGCGGATACGGTAGAATACGTGACGCTGAATCTTTAGTTAGTGACGATGATAATAGTGAAGATGACATAGATGATACTTTGGTAAGTGTTCAAATAACATATCATTATTCATTTACACTACAAATTGTTGTTGTTTTATGCTTGTTTTCTTTATTTTTATATTTATTTTATCAAATTTATTTCATACCGGGTACGCTTTTTCATTTTCACTAAAATGTTAATAATTATTCGTTCTTGTCTTTTGTTTTTTATTTTAATTTTTAATTTATAGGCAGCAGTTGTTATAAGTCAAGGGTCTGCAAAACACAAGCTCCAATTTTTAATAGGGGATGAAGTATTACCTTTTAATATGACCGTATACCAGGCAGTAAGACAATTTGGTTGTTCTGGTATAGATCATTCAGAAGCAGAAGCAGATGGCGAACCACCTTTGGGACACGATGCGGTATGGGTGCAAACCCATACGATATATTACAGGTATTGTTTAAGAATTTATTTTTTTTAAATATGGTTTTTAAGTAACCAACCCTTTTGGCAATAATTATATGTGGCTTATTTCTGAAGGATACTTGTGATCTTTGACTCACGTCTGAAATCATTGATGAAGTTTACGACAAGTGTATAATATACAAGTGAGATTTTTGCCTTTTTGATATTTAAAAAAAAAAAAAGAAACAAAAGGGATACATATGAGCCGTTTATATTTTGAAAGTTCTAACATTTGATATTTGTCCATGATTGATATACTATATATTAACAAATAAATTTTACTTTTAGAATTAAAAAAAGAAATAAGAGAGAAAAATCACACAATTATTAAAAATTGAAAAAAATTGTAAAACATTATTTTAATTATTATTAAACGTGTTGCCATTACATTTATATTTTTCTTTAGACCTGTGCCAGAGGACGAAGCAACAATGTCATCCAAGCCAGGATCAAGTTCGCAATGCGGTAGTAGAAAAGGAAAAGGCAAAAGTACAAAGATCAGTTCTAAACGAAAGGAAGATAGTCTTTGGTTAGAAGGAGTAGTGCCAGCTCAACGATGTCCACTTGCACCATACTTATCACCATCGTTGCCACCTTCAGTTACTATCGTCGATGCTTCCTTAGATGGCTTGTGTTTGTTGCGGCTTTTACATGCATTGAATCGTCATTGGGGCGTATTATTTCCTCATTTAAAAAGTATGAGTCTATTGTCACCTCAAGATTTTATTAATAACAAGATTGCGGCAAAAGCCAGCAGACAACTTCAGGATCCTTTAGTTATTATGACTGGTAATTTACCATCGTGGTTACAGCAAATAGCAACAGTATGGTAAGTTTTATTTATTTATTAATATTATTATAAATAAGATATGCATGAATGTTGGTGGAATATCTAAAATTGCAAATAAGAAATTATTGGATTATTTGTTTTTGTTAAATGGAATGAAATATTTAATTTAACACGTTCACGCTGGCGCTATAATTCATATTTCCCGCCACTAGGCGGCTGCGTTTAAAACTTTTCACTCTATCGGATGGGTCAATTAATTAATTAAATTAAAGTTATGTTTAGAATACGATATTAAATATATTAT